ATAAAATACATAACAATTCCTTTATTACATATTTTTAATTTATCTTTAAAACATGGTGTTTTTCCAGAAAACCTAAAAATTGCAAAAATCATTCCAATTTTAAAGTCAGGCAATCCTTCTGAAGTTGCAAATTATTGTCCAATCTCAATTCTTAATTGTTTTTTTAAAATACTAGAGCGAGTTATGTATAATAGGCTTTATTCTTTTTTAAATGTAAATAATATTCTCTACCATTAACAATTTGGATTCAAATCTGGCCATTCCACCGATCATGCAATCATTCACCTTGTTCAGGACATATTTAAACCGTTTGATGAAGGCAAGTATACCCTAGGTCTTTTTATCGATTTAAGTAAAGCTTTCGATACAGTCAATCATCAAATCCTTCTATCGAAACTCAAAAGTTATGGTATAAAAAATACTAACTTGTCCTGGTTCGAGAGTTATTTGACCAATAGGAAGCAGTATATAGTTTATGATGAAGGAAAAACTAATTATGAGACAATTAAATGTGGTGTTCCTCAAGGATCAATTTTAGGGCCACTTCTATTTCTTGTTTATATAAACGATTTAAATAAATTTTGTAACATCTTAAATACAATTTTATTTGCAGATGATACCAGCTTGTTTTATTCCAATAAAGATATCAATATATTATTCTAAACATTAAACAAAGAGTTAGACAAACTAACCCAATGGTTTAAATCAAACAAATTATCTTTAAATATTACTAAAACAAAATACAGTTTATTCCATCGCCTACATAAAAAATCAGATATTCCCTTAGAACTCCCAGACCTTTTTATTGACAATCAATTAATAAAAAGAGAGCAATCAATAAAGTTTTTAGGCGTGTTTCTAGACGAAAATCTAACCTGGAGGGAACACATAGGTGTAGTTGAAGATAAAATATCAAAAAATTAGGAATAATGTACAAAGCAAAGCAGTTATTACATCGATCCATCGATCTTGTTTAAAAAACATTTACTTTTCTTTTATTCATTGCTACTTAAGTTATGCGAACATTGCTTGGTGTAGCACTAACACGACAAAAATGAAAAAATTGCTTAGCAAACAAAAACAGGCTATAAGGATAATTTCAAACGTAGATCGTTTTTTACACACACAAACACTTTTTAATGAACTCAATATCCTAAATGTATATAAACTAAACCTCTATCAAATTCTTATTTTCATGTTCAAACTTGATAAAAAAATATTACCAATCTTATTTTATTCAATTTTTGAAAAAATAAATCACATATACCCTACAAGATTTTCAAAATACAACTACATTCAATCCAAAACTTATTATTCCGCTACTAAATTCTCTATTGTAAACCGAGGACCAAAGTTGTGGAACATAATATTAAATAATGAAATGAAAACTAATTATTCTCTAAACCAATTCAAAACAAAACTTAAGCAATTACTTTTGTTAACTGAAAATGAATTAAATTTTTTCTAATAAAACTTCTTTATATTAGAAATCAATAATTAATAGTTAATTAATTAATTACTTTAGATTATTAATACATAATTAATCAACAATTGTACATATGTTTTTATTATTTTAAATGATAATCTTCTTTTTGAGAAATTTATTTTTTATTTTTGCGTTATTTATTAATCTTTTACTTTTATTTTATACTGTTTATTTGCTTTTACTTAATTGGCAATGAAAAGTATTATAAATATAATTAAATAAGTTAAACTATAAAATGCTCTACCAATAAAATGTTTTTATATAAAATCATATCTTCTTATTTTTTCAAACCAAGTCTTAAATGTTATTGTTATTTTTGTCATTTTAATATTTTATTAAATTTTGTTTCTTTTATTTTACAAAACAATTGCTAAATCTTATTCTTTGAAAACCTATAAATTTTAAACGATATGCGATATATTTAAATTTTCTTTTATAATATAAATCAGAGATATATACATTGAAACTATATTTTATTGTCAAACTATATTTTGTCTAGTAACGACGCATTTTTTTGGGCTTAATGATAAGACTAAATTTGTCTTCTTTTAGCCCCGGTCATGTAATTATTTTTTTTTTATAAGTTACGACTGTAAATTTTTTTTTTATCGGCAAAAGTGTAAATAAATAAAATAAAAAAAGACCAACAATATAGATATAGCTCTCGAAGAAGTCTTGCATGTTTTGATTTATTAAAATTCTTTCTTTTAGTTTTGATATAAAAATTATTTATGTTTGCAAGCATTTTGATGTCTTTTTTGATTATTATACTTCATAATTGGAAGCATCTAGCTGTGATAGAAGCCATAATTGGAAGCATCTAGCTGTGATAGAAGCCGTAATGACTTCGATGTGAGTTTTAGCTTTAATATAACTATTTTTCGCGTGTCTGATAAGATATTTGTGCTTTACTTTTTAGAGCCATCACGTAGAGCATAATATATGCAAATAGTACTAATGCTAAGGAAATAAATTATTCAAGTATCAGAATGTATAATTATTTTGCGATGAGAGTTGTAAAATCCTTGATATGATGTAAAAACAAAAAAAATAAAAAAATAATGTTTTGATTAAAAGAAAAGCCGCATATGATAATGGGAACTTCTAGCCTTATGTAAACCTTTTTAAAAAATTAAAGTTATCAGACACTGATCTGTTTGCTATTTTGTTATTTTAGTTGTAACGTAGCTAGATTTTTTGTTTACAACCATTATTGTTTCTATATAGATAAAAAAAAACATCCGCAAATTTCATCGAAGTTATACAATCATAATAGGTTCACATAATCACAAGGTTATATAATATAAAGTTATATAACTTTAAATTTCATAAAGTTGTTTGTTTGTTTTTTAGATTAAATGAATCTCTGTAAATTATCAAAAAAAAAAACTAATCACTGTTTGCTTTAGGTGTCGCTTAACTGCTCAGTTCTTTATTTAGTTTATAGATTAAGTATATTTTAAATACTCTCTCAAGAATGTTAATATATCATTGAAAAGAGTATCGAATAAAAATATTTCAACAAAATTGAAGGTTTTTATTAAAAAAAAAAATGAGATCATAGAAAATTTCAAAAAAACTGAGCTTTTTTTATTTTAGCTTATACTTTATATAACATTAATTTTTATGTATAATACTCTCAATAATAAATAAAATCACTGCAAACAATTTAAATTGGCTTAGAAGTATAAAAAAGTAAAACGTTTCTATAAGTTACTAATTTTTGACATAATTGGTTTCTAACCTGACGTCTGATTAAAGTCGGACAAGAAACCTTTTAAACCAATTTTATTCTTTTTTTTTTTTTTTTTTTTTTTTTTCTGATAGAAAAATATTTTACTTAAGCAACACAGAACCGTTTAAAACACAATAAATTTCTATTCACACAAACTCAAAAATCGTTTTTATTTAATAGTATGCAAATCCAAAAAATAAAATAGTATTTTGTTTGAAGTTGCAATAGGAGTTTTTGACGGTGCATAGATGTGTTATAGGGCGTAGTTATTTGACGATTGCAAGGTTTATAAGTTTGATGGAACCCTGAAATATTAATTTCTATAGAAGGTTAATTTAGTTTGATTGCATGCTAAAATATTACTTTACCATAGAATATAAAAAAAACTTTACTACCTTATAAAATCCTAAATACATTTTGAAATTTCACCAAGCTCAATGAAAATATTTTATGCGCAAAGCTTTAAAGTATATCCTCCTTAATAGGAAACACAATTTACAAAAAATTACATACAGTTATATATTTCTCATATAAAAATGCTGTATATTGGTGTAAAAAACAGCATGAATATATTGTGTTAAGTGATTATTGTGTTAAGTGAGCATTTATGAATAGCAAAGCTATTCATAAATGCTCACTTAACACAATAATCAGCTTGTCTTTTATCTTTTGTTTTGTAACTAGCCGTTAACAATATTTGTTTTTTAGAAGAAATTCAAATAATTTAACAAAGAGAAGTGAATACGCCTGCAAACAGCAAACTCTTAAGGAAAAAAGATGATATTTGAAAAAGTGTTCAGTAAGAATTTACAAAAAATGTTAGACAGATGTCTGATTTGAAAACATTTAATTCAAAGAAAGCAATATTGTAATTGAATCACGTATAAACATGTACAGGGTGCGGATAGGAGGAATCAAGTCAAGTTAGACGCACTTGGTGTAATGAGTGAATTTAATCAATTCATTGTGAACACTGCCTCATTCAATGCATATATTTATTTTTAATTTAAATGAGCTTTCATTATATCTTAGAGTACTTTACAAGAAGTATCCCGGACTTATTGGCTATATATTTCGATACAAATAATACAATTTTAAAGTACCTCTAAGTTGATAAACTTTTTTTAACAACATTATTCCTTTATACTACACTTTTTTTTAAATATGTAGTTATAACATTCACAAAATATGTATAAAGATTCGGGCGCATATATAATTTTTTTATTTTTTTGAGATTGTTATGCTTTGTATATATATACAGAAAAGCTAAATCAAGCACACGTGCTTGATTTAGCTTTCCTGTTTTAGTTTTTAAGCTTACCTTTTAAACCATATTTACTATTAATTTTATTTAAAATTTTTATGATAATTCAAGCGCATAAATAAATATTATTGTTATATCATTATACATCGTGCATACGTGCTTCATGAACAAAGGTCTTATGCATAATAATTTAACTTTCCTGATTTAGTTTTTAAGTTTACCTTTTAGGCAGTATTTACTATTGTTTTTAGTTTCTCAACCAAAATGTTTTGTGTGGGTTAAATAATATTTTTGTTAGGATTGTGAACCAGCCCATTTAAAAAAATTATTTTTCTAATACAAAAATAACCAAAGTTTGACATACTTTCATGCTTTAAAAATTTTTTACACCCACTCAAAAATTAAGAAAAATATTTTATGTTTAAGACAGGAATGTTTTAAAAAATAAATTTGATAGTGAAACAATAAATTTTGAAACTGAAAGTAAAATGACCTGTAAAATAAACAGAGATAATTTTTACTATAAAAGCTAGTTAAAAACAAAAAATAACTAAAGCTGTTGCAGTTATTACCTTATTCATTATCAACTAGTCAAAACATTTTTTGGGAAAGCCGCTATTATGTCAAAACTCGGAATTCTGTTTGCATTGTTTGCTTTGACATTTGCATTAAGTTAGTATTTAATACAAAATATCTACTTTTTTAAATATCAAACACTTTTTTTTTTCAGTAATAAATCTTAATTGTAATATTTATTATCTAGGCTACGAAGTAAACGAAGAAAATAGCAACAATTATGAAAACGATTTTCTAGATAATCTTGAGGATAGCGAATTTAATGATTACCTGGGTAACTACTGACGTCATTACTTATATTTTTATATAAACTTTCAATCTAAGGATAAAATAGTAAAAATAAAAAAGTTTAAACATTCAATAGAGCTAATCAAGCCAGGTAGAGTATATAATGATTTAAGTCCTCGCCTTAACATATCTACCCACAAGTTATTTTTACTTGTTCAAATACAGTTTTTAATGCGAGCTTAAATACAGTCGAAAAATTCAAACTTCTTTTTATTTTAATACTTAACTTAAATTAAAGTGTAAAAGTAATGGTAAAAATAAATCAATAAAAATTCAATACTATTCCAATAGATTTTTATATATTAAATTACTGATATGTTCTATGCTTGAATTAGCATACAATTGTTTTTTATTATAGTTAATACTTATTAAATATATAAAAATATAGAAATTTTTTATTTTTTTCATTGTGACTGTTATAAAATTAGTCGATCTTAGAACTTAACGTCATATAAGATAATTCTTAACTTTATATGTTCAATTTTAAATATTTTTTATGTAGAGACAAAGGATGATAATGAAGACAACGACAAAGAAGAATTAGAAAACTACGAAGATAATGATCACTCACAAGGCTATATTAAAAGTAATATTGTTTTCTAAGTTTTAAACAAAATTGTTTATTACTCTTATTTATTTCTAGTTGTTCTTTGTAATTCAAATTAACACATACTTGAAGGCTACAGTTATTACCTTTAATGCAAAACCAAATGCAAAACTCAGTTTTTCGTTTTCACCGGATTTTCCCACATAATTTATTATAATTTTTTATAATTTATTTTTAAACATTAAACAAGCAGTGCTAAATGATGACGTAGAGTTTTATAATATAAGTATAAAGTAATAATACATACTTAAATTGTGTATACATTTCGATTGCTAAATTAGCTTCTGCTAAGGTTGCTTCTCTTTATCGTGCTCGCCATTTTCTTACTTCTGATTCCATTCTCTACCTCTACAAATCTCTTATTCATCCCTGTATGGAATACTGTTGTCATATTTGGGCTGGTTCTTCTAACGATTCACTTTCTCTTCTTGACAAGGTCCAAAAACGCATTGTAAATGTTGTTGGACCTGGACTATCTGCTAAGCTTGAACCTCTTTCCCATCGTCGCAAAGTTGCATCTCTTTCTCTTTTCTACAGATACTATTATCATGGTCACTGCTCAAAGGAGTTATCATCTCTAGTTCCATCAACTAAAATTCATTCTCGTTTTACTCGTCATTCAGCTAAGTCTCATTTGTTTACTGTATCTGTCCCTGCATGCTCTAAAAACTTTGGAACTCTCTCTCATCTTCATGTTTTCCTGACTCATACAACCTTTAACTTTTCAAGTCTTCTGTCAACCGTTTCCTTGCTCTATAATTCTGTTCTTTTTTTTTTCCTAGTAACTCCCAACTTAATAGTGGTTGCTTGCAGCCTTGTTGGGAGTGAATGCAAATTGAAAAAAAAAAAAAAAAAAAAAAACAATTTTCAAAACTAAATAGACCTTATTAATATTTAGTTTTAAAACAACTTTTAAAGCGTCTTAAGATTTCAAAACTAAACGAGATCAATGCTGCCGATGAAATCGTTGCTGAAACCCATGAAATCTCCGCTTATGTTACTCTTTTGTAACTATACGATTGAAAAAACAATTCAATTAAAATTTATAAAATTTAAATGGCCTTCTTGGCGTTAGTGGTTCATTGGATCTGTGACTTACAGAAAAAAAAACAATAAAATCTTATAAAACTGTGCTTATGCAATAATTATGATAAAACTTTATGGTTATTCCTATTATCATATTTAGCATTTATAAACAAAACATTTTTAGGATATGAAAGTATTTTAAACTTTTGTAAATAACCATTTTTCTTTTCTTTTAGGAGATTTTAAGGTGTAACTATATTTCATATACTCACGTTTTAGCATATGCAATATCACACTTAAGCATATGTTTAAAATTTTTATTATGAATATATTTAATTGTTTATATATTGAACTAATATTAATTGGTCTTTAAAATGTAAAAAGATTCATTTAAACTTCTAATATAAAAAATTGATTTTAAAATCATTTCTTTAGCCTTGACTAATTATTAAATATTTTAAAAGACTAAATGTCTTAGCTCTATTACAGTTGAGCCTGCTGGATTAAGTTAAGTTAAGACAATAAGTTCAAAACGTTTCTTGAATAGTTAACTTTTTCACTCATTTTGTTGACAACTGCACTTTTAATTTTATTTTTACTTTCACTTTGGTTTAAACTTTGTCAGCGGTCCTTGTTTATTTTAACTTTTTTTTCCTTGTTCTCCTTTGGGTTGTTCGGACTATGCGTCTTAGTTAATGTTTTAGTTAATGTTTTAGTTAATGTTCGGTCTTGATCTTAGTTAATGTTTTAGCTCAAACTTCTTTTTTATCAGATCTCATATCCATTATCTAAAATTGTACTATTTGCTATAACCTAATAAGAAACCGTGATAAGATTTTATTAGATTTTTAAAGTTTCCAATTTTGATATTTTCTTCGTTGCTGATTTTTGCGTTAATCACGCCTATCCACTGAAAAAATTCTATGTTTTTGATTAGATTTGAACAACCATGAAAACTTTTAATTTTTTCACTGTTTTCAATATTTCTTCTTCTTGTGAAACTGCTATTTTTTATCTTAGTAATAATTTTCGTACTTTTTACAAGAATAATTCTGATTTTATTTACTCTCAAAATGATAAAGCCTAGCTATTTTTAAAGATTTTTATAATTTTTTATCTTTTAAATCAAATAACTATTTGGTTTAAAAGGTAAAAAATTATAATTGCGAACAATTGCAGCTGGTATCGCAGATTATATTACAAATGATATGTATGTATTACATTTTAAAACAATATAATATTGCTCTTTAGAGGTGTCTTCATTACTCATTATATATATATATATATATATATATATATATATATATATATATATATATATATATATATATATATATACATATATATATATATATATATATATATATATATATATATATATATATATATATATATATATATATATATATATATATATATTTAGCTAAATGGTTAAAACGAACTGCACGAGCATGCGAAGGAAACAATCTGATAATCAATTGCTACGGTCAAAGAAAAATTAAAGTAATTTATGCAAACTATGGTAGAACCTCGTCTCGTATATGCTCTGGGAATTTTAATACGGATTTGCCAAAGAAATGTAACAATCAAAAAAGATCTCTGAAAGAAGTGCGTAGCAAGTGTTCAGGCAGGTCATCTTGCGTTGTTCAAGCATCGAATGGAGTATTTGGCGACCCATGTTTTGGAACATATAAATATCTTGAAGTGCGTTTTTATTGTCAAAAGAAACACCATTTTATTGGTATTTAAATCAATTAAAAATTGTTATTGACAGTGTAGAAAGAAAATTTAATTAATTCATGAGTTATTTTACTTATATATACATGATTTTATAATTTTTTTAAAAACAAATATTATCACTAGTATTGACGTTGTTTTTTGTGTTTTAATAATCTTTTTATAACTTTCCGAAAAGCATATATTACCTTTATATTATCTATTTAAAGCATTCCTTATATACACCTAAATACTTGTTATATTTTATATTTACCTAATTAAATTAAGTGGAAGGCTTAGAATTAGTTTTTCGTCTGGCAAACTCGTGCAAATAAATTTTTCTCGACGTATTTTAGGGGTAATTAGTAAAATTAGTAAGACTTAATTTTTTTATAAAAACTTGATCTTTTACAATCTATATTTTGGGTTTGAAATAAAAGGAAATGAATAAAAATTTGTTTTTGTTTTATGACCAGTGGCGATATTAAGAATATATCAAAGGGTAGGGGTAAGGGAATAAAGGCAAATTCTTAAAGTGAAGGTTTTGTGCTAAAAAATAAGTTATCAAAACTAATAATCAAACCGAGTGAAGTAACTAAAACTCTATAACTTGAAAATCACCTTTATAGAAAAGTTGGGGGGGGGGAGGGATTGTTATACCCCCCCCCCTCCTCCTTGTAGAATGGCTCCTGATTACAAACACCTCTTCTTTTGTTTAAAAAAAATTTCAGAAGAGTTTTTTTTAATTATACAGATATTCGGACTTTTATAAAGACTCTTTTTGAACAACTTAAGAACAATGATAAATTTCAGTATTATTAACAATCCAGTAAATACAGATTGTTTCAGAATTGATCAATATTTAGTCGAAATCGATCGAAAATGAGTAAAATGTTTAGCGACATATTATTGACAAAAAATCGACGCTTGATTTGAAATGTATATTTCAAACTTTTTTGTATTTACGTTTACTAAGCGTCGATCTAATGTTTAAAATATCGACTAACATTAGTCAATATTGTAAACCTTTAATCGAACTCAATTTAATGTAAACATTTACAGATTTAAAATCTACGCTTTAAATTTTTTAATATACACGTTTATTAAACGTCGCTCAAATATTTACAATATTGACTAATTTAAGTCGTTATTCTAAACGTTTGATCGACGTTTAATAAAAGTTTATTATATTATAATATACCGGTTTTCACATTTAATCTGGTGTTTTTTTGCACGAACCTAGTGGTTTTTCGCATTTAATCGGGCGGTTTTTTGCATTTAATCTATATTTAATTATGTTTATAAATAATTGTATATAAATATAAAATTGAACGTAACATATAGTTGTACATAAACATTTAGTTGTATATAATCATTTAGTTGTATGTAAACATAATTTAAACATTTAGTTTTATATAAACATTTAGTGGTATATAAACATTTAGTGGTATATAAACATTTAGTTGTTTATAAACATTTAGTTGTATATAAACATTTAGTTATTAAAATGTGGAATATTAGAACTCAAAGTTGTTTTGAAATATAAATTCTACAATTTACAATTGCTAAGTTTATTTTTTATTTTGTATATTTATATTTGATATAAACTGATAACTAATAGAACAGATTGAAACAGTAACAGTGTATTGGAGGAATGTATTAATGAGAGTTACAACTGTGGTAAAAACTTTGTCATCTCGTGGAATGTCATTTAGAGGAAGAAACGATCATTTTTGTTCGACTCAAAACGATAATTTCATGATGTGTCTGGAACTTTTTTCTGATTTCAATCCATTTTTAGTCAAACATGTTTAAAAATATGGAAATAAAGGAAAAGGTTCTACTTCATATTTATCATTCCAAATTTATGAAGAATTCATTAAAATAATGGCTGATCAAGTTGTAAAACAAATAATAAAAGAAATCAAAGAAAGTAAATATTTTTCAATTAATATAGATTACACGCCTGGCATAGCACATGTTGACCAATTATCCTTTATATTTCGATATGTCAAAGACGGATTACCTGAAGAAAGATTTTTATGTTTTCATTCTAACTCTGGACATTATGCCAAAGATTTATCTGATGCATTATTTCTTGTCCTTGAATCTCATGAATTTAACATAAGTGATAGCCGTGGACAGTCTTATGATAACGCAGCAAATATGGCAAGTATTTATTCGGGACTTCAAGCACGTATCAAAGAGATCTGTCCATTAGCTCAATTAATCCCATGCTCTGCACATTCTCTGAATTTAGTTGGAGAATGTGCAGTTGACTTTTTCTGTCTACTTCAAAACCTATATAATTTTTTTAGTATCTCAACTCATCGATGGGAAATATTAAAAAATAATTTTACTAAACCGAAAATTGTGTCATAGAAAAATCTTTCTGATACGAGATGGTCAGCCAGGCACAATGCATGTACAAGTCTTAATGAAAATTGGAATGAAATAATACTGACTTTAACTGATATCAATAATGATACAACTGAAAAGTCTAGTACAAGGTGTGAAGCTAAAGGTTTACAAACTAAGTTAATTAGCTTAGAAACTGCTTTAATGGCTCATATATGGGGTGACATAATGGAAAGATTCTATTTAACAAGTAAAAAATTACAACCAAATTTACATTGATTTGAAACCTGTTATTATTTTATTCAGATCACTAATTCAATATGTGTCTAGTTTAAGAGAAATGTTTGATTTGTATGAAATAAAAACAAAAGAAAAGTCTGGAATTAAAGATTACCAAGAAGAAGCACTGCGGAAAAAAAAAAGAAAGTTAATGGTTGGTGAGACAAGACAAGGTAAATCACAACTTAATGGTAGACAGAGTTGTAAACATAGTTGGACCTGCTCTTGCAGCCAATCGATCTATGGTAATTGTATTTGTATTGATAAATGTATTTATTTATAAATATAGTTATAAATAAATACATTTATCAATACAAATACAGTTATCATAGATCGACTAAATTTGAAATTAAATAAATGAGTAATAGCATATGAACAGATAAGTGAAAAATTTCTTTCTTCTTTAATATCACTCAATTATCAAGTACTGAAATTTATGGAAAAGCTGAAAACAGAAATTTAACAAAGAAGATCTTGGTATTACATTTTCTAACGAATGCGTTTATTTTAGTTCTTTTTTATTGTTGTTGCCTGATGATGAATTTCTTGGTACAATAGTCAAAATGTATTCAACAATTATAGATAAAGAATGTGAAAATGTATATCCTTATGTTGAAATCGCCTTAAGAATATTCATCTGCTTCCCTATTTCAAATTGTTCAAGGTATTTTTCAGTTTTGAAAAGAATTAATTTGAGTCAGATCTAACCAATAAATTTAATTAAGATGGTGTTATCAATTTATTTGGCAATGAAAAAGATTGACGTAAACTTTAAGGGACTATGATTTAAAAATAACTTTTTTTATCATTTATGTATTTTATGTGCTATTATACTATTTTATTTTAGAAAATTATTGTCTATTGATAATAAACGCTAAAAAAGTATAATATTAATTCGATAAAACTGCTTATTTTTCTAAAACCTATACTATTAATTTATATTGAGAAGGGAAGTACGAAGCGGTAAAAATTATTTTGACCCTGGGCGCCAAATCTCTAAATACGTCTCTTGACAGGAAGGAAGGGGTTGAGAATTGACAAATATTGACGTACTTTAAAGATAGCCGTCTTAATTGCATTTACTAACGGTTTATTTTAGTAAAACAAAAATATAAAAGGTTTTAACTGATTTTTTTATACTAGGAGAATAGCAAATTATTCTTTTCTTTTTTTTTAAAGTCTGAATAAAAATATTAGTATAATTCTTATTCTTATTTATTTATGTATATTTATATGTCGACTAAAATAAGAATACATAAACAAATAAAAAAAAACAATATAAATAATTTTAATTAATATTAAAAAAAGGTTTCCAATCTAAATTCTCCTGATATAAAAGGTTTCACTTAGAACCTTGTCAAACCAACTAGTAAAAATTACGTAATGACTATGGAAGCTAGTTCAAACATCTTATAGTTCGAACGTCCGAACTTTTTCGTAAAACTTTCAACGTTCAAGTTCGAATTTTTTTCTCCTAAGATTTCAAACTTTTAAATTTTAAAAAATGATATGTCTTTTCATTCATTTTTGTAAAACAAACTTAAAAATAAGTAAAATTTATAAACTTGAATATTGTTGCTATTTTTTTATTTTTTGTTTGTCTGGAAACTCAGGAAAAAATATAATCAAAATTACATCACCTGTAGCGCCATAACATTTAAGATCGGTTTTTTATACAAAGTATTTTTGTATTAGTGTATTTTTTGGAAAAATAAAAAAAATATTTATAGTAATAAATATTTTGAGAAAAAAAAGATTTACTTTTGTTTATATATATATTTTGTTTATATATATATATATATATATATATATATATATATATATATATATATATATATATATATATATATATATATATATATACATATATATATATATATATATATATATATATATATATATTTATATATATACATATATATATATATATATATATATATATATATATATATATATATATATATATATATATATATATATATATATATATATATATATATATGTATATATATATATATATATATATATATATATATATATATATATATATATATATATATATATATATATATATATATATATATATATGTATATATATATATATATATATATATATATATATATATATAATATATATATTAACTATGCTAATATTGCCTGGGGTAGTACCAACAAAATTAAGTTAAAGCCTTTGCTTTGTCAACAGAAGCATGTAGCACATCTTATTAATTTTAAAGATCATTTTACTCATGCCAGGCCTTTATTATTAAACGTGAATATTCTTAATATTTACGAAGCAAATATATTTAACGTTCTTTGTTTTATGTTTAAATGCAAAATTAATACTTGTCCTGTTTCTTTTCATAAGTTATATTCAATGAAAGAAAAAAAGAAATATATATTAAGAAATAATAAACATATGCAACAACCAATTTTTCAATCAAATATAGGCAAATCTTGCATTCAATACCGTGGAGACTTTTTATGGAACAAAATAGTTTTAAAGCATTTTGATTTTTCGCATAATTGGAACTATTTTTCTTTTAAATGAAAACTAGAAGAAGTAATTTTTTCAATTGATAACATATCTTTATATTTTTAAATTATTACCTATTCCACAAAATAATTAAGGAATTGTAATCTGAAAGACAGTATTTTTTAGATTACATATTATATATTATATATTGACATTACATATATACTGATGAAAACTGAATTAATTTTTCGAGTTTTTGTTTGCTTTTTTTGTTTGTTTGTTTGTTTTTGCATAATATTAAATATTGAGAAATATTATACATATATTCACATATATTATAA